GTCGAGGCGCCGGACCATCCAGGCTTTCGGCACAGCAGCTACTGACGCTGATGTGCCCCTGCCTTGCATGCTGCCCCATTGTTCGTCAATCTTTCCGTGGTCCCTCTGATGCTGGGTTTCTCGGTTGCTGCAGCATCTGCCCCGATGTTCATCTGTTTTACTGTAGCCCCTCTGATGCTGGGTCCTCAGTTGCTACTGCAACAACAACATCGTCTACATGCCACAACGGTCAGTATTGTACAATCCCTTATTTGCAGATGGTGCCGAAAGCCTGGATGGTCCGGCGTCGTCGAGGCGCCAGACCATCAAATGGTCCGGCGTCGTCGACGCGTCGGACCATCCAGGCTTTCGGCACAACAGCTATTGACGCTGATGTGCCCCTGCCTTGCATGCTGCCCCATTGTTCGTCAATCTTTCTGTGGTCCCTCTGATGCAGGGTTCCTCAGTTGCTGCAGCATCTGCCCCGATGTTCATCTATTTTACTGTGGCCCCTCTGATGCTGGGCCCTCAGTTGCTACTGCAACAGCAACAGCATCTACATGCCACAGCGGTCAATATTGTACAATCCCTCATTTGCAGATGGTGCCGAAAGCCTGGATGGTCTGGCGTCGTCGAGGCGCCAGACCATCAGATGGTCCAGCGTCGTCGAGGTGCGGCGTCGAGGTGCGGCGTCGTCGAGGTACGCCAGACCCCCAGATGGTCCCTCTGATGTTGTGGCCTCAGTTGCTGCAGCATCTGCCCCCATGTTCATCAGTGTTGCTGTGGCCCCTCTGATGCTGGGTCCTTCTGTTGGGTCCCTGTTGTTGCTCCCCCTCCCGATGGTGCGGCGTCGTTAAGGCGCCAGACCACCGGATGGTCCGGCATCGTCGAGGCGTCGAGGCGCCGGACCATCCGGGCTTTCGGCACAGCAGCTACTGACGCTGATGTGCCCCTGCCTTGCATACTGCCCCATTGTTCGTCAATCTTTATGTGGTCCCTCTGATGCTAGGTTCCTCAGTTGCTGCAGCATCTGCCCCGATGTTCATCTGTTTTACTGTGGACCCTCTGATGCTGGGTCCTCAGTTGCTACTGCAACAGCAACAGCGTCTACATGCCACAGCGGTCAGTATTGTACAATCCCTCATTTGCAGATGGTGCCGAAAGCCTGGATGGTCTGGTGTCGTCGAGGCACCAGACCATCAGATGGTCCGGCGTCATCGAGGCGCCGGACCATCCAGGCTTTCGGCACAGCAGCTACTGACGCTGATGTGCCCCTGCCTTGCATGCTGCCCCATTGTTCGTCAATCTTTTTGTGGTCCCTCTGATGCTGGGTTCCTCAGTTGCTGCAGCATCTGCCCCGATGTTCATCACTGTTGTTGTGACCCCTCTTATGCTGGGTCCCTCTGTTGGGTCCTTGCTATTGCTGCCCCTCCCGATGGTGCGGCGTCGTCAAGGCGCCAGACCACCGGATGGTCCGGCGTCGTCAAGGCGCCAGACCATCAGATGGTCCGGCTTCGTCGAGGCGCCGGACCATCAGATGGTCCGGCGTCGTCGAGGCGCCGGACCATCCAAGCTTTCGGCACAGCAACTACTGACGCTGATGTGCCCCTGCCTTGGATGCTGCCCCATTGTTCGTCAATCTTTCTGTGGTCCCTCTCATGCTAGGTTCCTCAGTTGCTGCAGCATCTGCCCCGATGTTCATCAGTTTTACTGTGCCATCCAATGGTCTGGCCTCAGCCACGCCGAACCATCTGATGCTCGGATTTACAGTGCTCGGCTGCGGACTGGCCATCGCTTTCCCGTTAAGGAAAACCGCAGGTTGGCGTGCTTAGATAAGTGCCCTTTGCACTGGCCATGGGTGCGATGGGAACGGTCCTTCCCTGTTACAGTGGTAGGGATTCCGCTGTGGAGGCAAGTGCTTTCCTGTTTGGCTGCTGCCATTGCGAACGTTCGTTGGTGGAGGCAAGTGCTTTGCGTGATGCCCGACAAGGCACCAGTACTACTGACTGTCGGCAGCTTGCTCTTGTCACCGGTTCTGGACGCGTTCCACCGCTCCTTCTTCTTAACCTCTGTTTGTTCCGTGTGTTGCGTCGGTGTCGGATGCGGTGTTATGCAGCTCTGTGCTCCTCAGGGGTCTCTACGCCGAAGGTTGTCGGAAGGGCGGTCATGTTCCAAGAGAAGTATTGGGCAATCGATTGGCACCTCGGTATGAAAGTCCCCTGTTGTGGCCCAGTTTTTTTTTGCGGGATGAGAGTGGTGGTTACTACCCGTGCGGGGGTATCAAGACTTACTCGTTTGATAAGAACATGTCTGACGAGGAGTACATGAGATTCCATCTCACGACGTGTTTCGACATCGACGGTCACGAGGTGCCTGACAACTACAAGCTCGTGTCTCTCCACGTCGAGAAGTTCCAAGGTTACGGCATCCGCGCTGCATAAATGCCTTCGTTCGACAAGTCCAGGAAGAAGGATGCGTCGCAGATGGTGATGCTCAGGCCGTTTGAGTTCCTCAAACGCGTTAATTGCTATAAGGTGTCGAACCATATCGTGACAATTGACAACAACCTGCAGTTGTCAAATCCCTTCGTGCCCTTCGACTGTGATCTTGAAGACTTCGCAGACATGGTAGGACGTCACAAGCTGCAGGCAATGGGCCAAGCCGTTTTGCGAACTACCGTCTCTGTGAGCTCGCCAAAGGCGGTGGGCAAGAGTTGTGGGGAGCCGAAAACATCCGCCCGTATGAGCAAAAGTGGGGCCGCATCGACACAGGCAAAGAGCGTGAGCAAATCAGCTTCTCTGCTCCAGCCGAAGGATGTGTCTGCGACGCAGGCACCATCACATGCAGAATATGCGGCACGCGTTTCTTTGACTCCGCCTGGTGGGGCCACTGACCATGTGGATGACGACGAAAACACAGAGGAGGACTCGCGCTTCTTCAACTCAGACGGTGGGCGGTGGCCCGATGGCAATGCTGCGAAAGGCACGGAAGGGGACGAAGACGAATAGCGGTTCCGCGACGGTGTACACGATGAAGAGGGAAACTTGGAGGATGGCTTCGTCGGAGAGGATGATAGTGGAGGCCAAGAGGATGGTGGGCACGAAAACGATGAGGGTGGGGCGGACGACGACGACAACGGGAATAGAGGGTCGCAGAAAAGGCGGGAACAATCTTCGCGTGCCACTAGTCATGATGGTCCGGCAGAAGATGACGATGTGTTGCATGGCACACAGAGGTCTGTGTGCATGCGCAAGAGGAAAATGAGATGTGGGAAAGCAGAGGAAGAGAAGCAGAGACAATCTAAGTTCATCAGCCTACAGGCCTCAAAGGAGGCTTACAAGAGATCCTTAGAGGCGCAATCCGCTAAGCCAGCAAAGCAAAAGCGTGAACGCACTCGATCTTCCCAGAGGCCGAAGAAGAAAGCAAAGGCCGATGAGACAAAGGAAATGGCGGACTCTGGGGACGAAGCGGCGGGGGTCGACCCGAGACATACAGCGTAAAAGCCTGGAGAGTTGACCAACGACACTATCGACACCACAAAATGTTTTTTCCTGGAATACGACGAGGACGGCAATGCGATAGATCGGCCTACCCAAGTTTTCGTTGACGTGGCCAAAATACTGCCCAACCCTTTGGAAGGCGTGCAATACAACCACAGGCCGTTGAACGAGATGTTGGTCACCTCCATCAAGGACGCAATGGAACACCCCGAAAATCAGAAGGAGTGGGACAGAAACACCTGGATTCTTGCTCCTGTCGTTGAAGTGGAGAAGGATGGCCGGAAGCGGTAGGAACGTGTGAAGCCGGAGGATTGGGATGATGACAAGGTTGCCTCCTACCATTGGTACACAGTGGCCGGCCAACATACAGCGGAGGCAGCAAAGAGGCTTCTCGCTGCAAAATCGTCTGCTGCCCACAAGTGGGGCGTGCATTCTTGGAAAGTGCGGGTTGTGTATTTAGACGATGACCATTTGGAGGGGTATGCGTACATCTCCACGTTTGACAACAGCAGGGAGACACGTGCTATCCCGTAGTCGTTTCGAATGGTTGTGACTGCTATAAGAAGACTGTAGCAGAGTATGAAAGAGCCAAAAGGTGATTGGCATTAGGCAAAGACGGTGGAAGAGAGGACTGCACAGCGTGACCAATATCAAGAGTTCGTACGGAAAGCTATACGGATGACTCCTATCACCTCGCTCTGAAACCAGTCGTTGGCGAAAAGATTTGTGAGGAATTGGTCAAACCTTTTGAGGCCCTACATGTGTCTTGCGGCGAGCGGCAGGGTTGTGTGGAATCTGGTTGAGAAGTTCTTTGACAAATGGGAAAAAGGCGAACTGCCAAGGCAAGACGGCATGAGACCAATGGATCAAGAAGGGAAAGGTGAGGCGGCAGGACCGGGCCCTGCAGCGAAGACGGTGAAAGGCAAAAAGGTGTTGGTGCACTACGTCCAGTCCAACAAAAGCTCACCAGGTTTCTATGTTTGCATCAATGATCCCCCCGCGAGCGTATGAAAGGTGTTCGGCGATTTCACATCAAGGGAGAAGGAGATGGCCCTCGAGAAAATACTTGCGGGACACGTTGTCGTCACGAGCAGAAGGGCATTTGTAAAAAAATTGATGAACATGCAAGACCTGTACGTGGAGGTGAGAAGGGAAAGATATATGGTTCGGATGTTTAACTATGTCATCTTCAAGATAGAGCAGAGGTCGGAGGGGGAGTGGAATGACAAGTTCTTCATTGGCTACGATACCATAATGAGGCGGTTTGCACCACGAGGGTTGACGACAGAGAAATGGGAAGAAACCAAGTCCAAGATCGTAGCAGAGAAGACTATCGATGTCCCGAAACGATTGAGCGGCGTGGATGAGGCAAAACTAGGAAAAGGAAATGTTCGGGGGTACAAGGTGACGACTGCAATATATATGGAGTGTCCGTACTTCCTCAAGCTTTTCGTGCATGAGATTCTTGGCGCAGTTGAGCAATTAAGGGACGAACTGAGACGGATCAACTCAAATGTTCAACACATAATGTGGGACAAGCGCAAAGATCACACGACGTATCTTCCTGTCTGCATCACACCTATGGATGCACTGCACCCGGCAGAAGATTTGACTCGTGCCGTGAGAAAGCTGAGTTGTCACCTTGCAGTATTGGACTTGGCTCCGTTGAAGAATCTCGACGCATGGAGCGAGCAAAGGTTTCACGAGCTCCGCCAAATGATGACGGTGTTGTGCGCGTCTCATTGGGCGCTAATCATATTCAACGCATTGAAAGTCGAGGAAACGGTGTTGAGGAACGTCTTCAGGTGGGACGGTGTGAGAGTTCTTCCAGGGCGTTGGCGTCGTTATAGCAAAGCAGCATCATCCTGCGCCCAAGTTGGGAACCTTCCGTTGAGAGGGCGCGACTCAATGACCATTGTGTTGCACGATACAGACAACGACTTGAAAAAGGTCACGGTCGCAAAGCCTCATGGGAACACTCTCTTCGACACACATTACGTGGAGGAGTTATTTGTACGATGTACAAAAGAGGCAATCAGCGTGCGAGGCGATAGCAAACCTTTGTACGGGATATGGGAAAGGGAACCTGCAAAGATGAAAGACGTGTGCACCTGGTTTTCGAAGGAAGGGGAAGGTGTTCTGTTACTGGGCAACGTTCAGGCAGGAACAACGTGGGACTTGCTGCGCTCAGGACGCCATGTCGTCGCATGTGATGGTTCCTCAAACCTGATGGAGTACTCCACTTTGTTTATCGATCACCACGTTCACAATCCGGATAACAGGTGTCACTTTGAACGGCCGAAACCTCAACATCGTGCAGACCGAGACATGTTCCTGAAGCTCCGCAAGAAGAGGGACTCTCTGTGGAGCTATCTTTTCTGCAATGCACCCGCAACACCAACAGATGGAGATTACCTGCACCGTAAGGTGATAGCGATCCATCACAACGCCAAACGCGGTGCAATTGAGATATTTCTGGGCCGATGTGAACACCTGCGGTTTGAAAGGAAGCGAGCCAAAATTGATGCCAAGGTTTACTGCGAGGTAATGGACGTTGGGGAGCAGTTTGACATTATGGACAGTGAGGAGGAGACAGAGGATGAGGAGATTGACCTGCCATTGCCGGATGCACATCAAAATGCAGTGAGAGACGAAACGCCTCCGCTGTCCGCTATGGGTGGTGAACAAGCGATGGAGGAAGATGTTGGTGGCACTATCGCGAGTACCGGGCCCGATAATGTGATGCATGGAACAACGCCGAAAAAAGGTGGTGCAATGGAAGGCAGCACATCCAAGTGCGGCATGAAGGAAGCTACCCCAAGATTCGTTTCGTTGGTGAGGAGAGTTCGCAATGACATAGGAGCGGCGGACGACGAGACTCAAAATGTTGCACGTGCAGACAAGGAATCAGTGGACGACCAAGATGGGATGGACATAGAGGATGATCACCTCTTTCACATCCGGACGACGTCCCCAAACAACTTGCACCGGGTGATAATATATCATATGACATGAAGGAGATGAAAGGAGGACCTCACTTTCTAGAAACAAAGTACAAAGAGTCATATGAACACGACTGGGGGCATCACATGATATGGCATCCAGGTCTTTTCGAGCCTTGTGTGATTGATGGCAGATGGCACATGGCTATCCGAATGGGTGGGAAATGGATGTTCAGGGAAAGAATCCTCAGGAGTAGGTTTTATGAAATCGCAAAGGACAACTTGTCTAACCGCGTGAAGCAGGCGAACAGAGAGGCGCCAGACCATAAAATATCAGACAAAGTGAACTTGTTATTCGAATTTCTGCGTGAAAATCACCTTCTCGAGTATTACGCTGCGTTCTACGACAAGAAATCGAGTCCATCGTATAGAGTTGTCATATGGTCTGTGGACTACCGTGCAATGGACTGTATGTACGACAACGACATACTTGTGGAATGCAGTCAAGGCCTTGAGGGACACACAGGTGCAAGGAAGAAGATCGATTCAGCAGCAGCAGGAGGTGGTGGCGAGAGTGTGGCAGACAAGGAAGGGCATCTCAGGATGCAAAACGCAATGGGAGATGAGTTCAGTGAGCGGCCATCGAGCACACCGCAACCAACACTTAGACCGTCAGAAGGCATCAGTGCAGTGGGAGCCAGAAGTGAGACAACACCAACAGCAGGCGGGAAAGTTGTTGGCTATGACGGAAAGAACGAAAAGATTGAAGAGGACCAGCGACAAAAAGCATCAGACGAAGAAGGGTCAAAATTTCAGGCACATGAGGTAGTGAAGGCGGTGSYRGGGAATGTYGATTCRCATTCCAAGCRRTCGCAAGGAACACACGATACGACTGTCATCACTGCACAGGCGCAAGGCACCGACGAAGACACAAGGGAGCAAAGTGCACATGAGAAAGATGGGGGGGAAGGACCAGTGCTTATGGAATGCACTGGTCCAGGAACGCAAATAGTTTCGGAGTCAACCATGGGAGAAAGGAGAGCTGACATGGAGGGTGTAAGTGGGGCAGAGCATGAAAAGGTTCCAAGCACGGCAAACAGGGAGAGGGAGGAGGAAAATGAGAATGAAGAGGAGGCGAACAAGATTCAGAATGTGATTAACTTGGTGGACCAGTCAGGTGAGAACGAAGAAACATCTGATAAGGAAGAAGCGAAAGAGTCGGGAGAGGAGTCTCAAGAAAGAGAGCGTGATTTGAGCGAAGCGAGTGAGGGAATATGCGGTAGAAAAAGAAAAGCAGGCAAGGAAAAAGAGGAATGCAGAATGCGATGTTAAAAAAGAGTCAGGGAGAAGAAAGCACAGTACAACGTAAAGTGCATGTGTCTATGTCAGCCTGCATTCACACTTGCCTGGGGATCAGATGACGTGTGTGTGTGTATGTGTGTGTGTGTGTGTGTGTGTGTGTGTGTGTGTGTGTGTGTGTGTGTGTGTGTGTGTGTGCGACTGTGTGTGTTACATCA